AATCCACATCTCCAAATCTTTCCAAACTCACCTTACAAACCAGTGTCCAAGGCTTCTAGGCTACACAGTCAAGCGTAGTCAGAGAAGCAGCCCTATTTTGTTAGTAACAATTCTCTGTGTTAGTCAGCTTCCCGTTACTGGACACAGACTGGATGCTCACAGTTTAAAGGAGAAGCTTCATTTAGCTTATGTTTTGAGGGGTTAAGTCCACAGCCAGCTCTCTCTGACATCATAGTCAAAGGGCATGGCAGAGCAAAGATTATTAGTTTACAACATCTGCGAAGCAGGGCAGAGGAACAGTACCAGAGAGGAGTGGGGGAAAGAGCAGAAGCCTGGCCGCCAGGGCTCACCTGAACAATAAATCGTGCTGCGGTGATCCCTGCAGTTCGCGAAGCCAGTCGAGTTGGCACTCTGCCTTGTCACAGTGTTTACTAGGCATCATGCTATTAATAGACATACACTGACAAATGAAGCAGAGCATATTCCTGCCTTCCTGGAACTAACTTCACTTTGAAGCAAAAGAAAGGAGTGGACTATGCTGCTATAACAAAAAAAAAAAAAAAAACCAATGTGCCAAAGGAAGACAATGATTATGATGTTATGAATGTTGAACTGGAAATGGAAAGGAGTATGTGGTAGAGACAAACCAAGTTAAGATCCCATTAAATAGGATTAGAGTTAGGGAAGGAAGGCCAATGAAAGTCTTACTGGTAAGGTGATATTTGTATGCAGAGAACTGAACTATGAAAATAAAGCTAAAATATATCATAGTGTCAGGAGCACTGGTGTTCTAGGCAAAGAGCGTGGAAGTGCAGATACCCAGAGATAGGAAAGAACTAAAGACATTCTGTGAGTGGAAAGGATTCATGCATGACTGGAAGTTCATAAATGATGGAGACAATGATGCCAGGCTTGCCAGAGGCCCAGAAAGATGGGGCCAAACAGTTAATTGTAGGAATTGGGGTCATATTGTATGAACAAATTACTAAAGCTTGCATAGTTCATAAAGATTCTGGTAGCTTACATACACATTTTATACACTTGCATAGATTCCAATGGTAGGGAGAATTGCTCAGTTGAAACAAGGCAGCCCCGGCAAAGGCCATGACAGGAGAAGACAGAACTACAGTTTGGACCATGAGGATGCAGAGTATATGAATCCACAGGGCTTGATGATTCGGGGGAAAAGGATAACTGACTTGATGTTTCAACCAAGAAAATGAATAGATGGGTAAGATTAGGAGATAACTAGACTGTGGAAAAAGCAAGAGTTCTTTTCAGGATGCTTTTAATTTTAGAGATAGAGGGAATGACTTCAAGGGCGGTGTCTAATAAACAGTTGGATTCATGAGCCTGAAGCTCAGAAGAGACTCCAAGTGCAGAGACATGTTTGAAAATCTTTTACATAAAGATGACATTCAGAACTTAGAATAGATACCACCTAGGCGGGGACTGGTAGAGGAGAAGAAGGAGATGAAGAAGGAAGAAGGGGAAGAAGACAAAGAGGAAAGAAGGAGAAGGAAGGAAAAGAAGGGAAGAAGTGGATGGAGAGCAAAGAGGGCCTAGGTCCCAGAGGCCCCGCATTGTGTTGAGGAAGAGAGAACCAGTCAGTGAGCCGGAAGGGTCACCTGAGGAAAAGCAGGCAAAGCAGCACAGCACATGGCATGAAAGGAGGGGAAGTTCTTATTTACTGAACTGTGTAATTCAAGTAAACACTAGATTATGCTTTCTTCCATATATTTGAGGTAAATAGTATTAAAATTTAAAATGTCTGGATAGCCTTTCAAGCCTTGATTAAGATTAAACTATACTTAGAGTGACAGCCAAGATGGAAATATGTTCTACTACTACCAGGATGATACTCAAAAGTAAAATAGACAATAGGGATATTCACCTCGAACTAAATGTATTTGTCATTCACCATGAGGTTTCTTTTAATCCACAGATAAAAATACTGTGGTTGTTGAGGTGAGAGTGTAACTTTTGATTAGGCATTTATTTTATCCTTCCACAAAAGCTCATGGTGCTGTCTTTCCAGGAGTTTGGTTGACATCTCGACATACTATTGTCAACTCTACAACAGTAGAATTGTACTGGAGTCCACCAGAGAAACCCAATGGTCTTATTTCTCAGTATCAGTTGAGTCGGAATGGAACTGTACTCTTCGTGGGTGGCAGTGAGGAGCAGAATTTCACCGATAAACACCTGGAGCCCAACAGCAGGTAACTAAAGGAAAATTGGACCAGTCAGACGGGAAGTGTTTCTAATGTTTCAAGGTTTGGAAAGAATACATTTCACTGAAATGTCATTCTTATTGATTAATCTCTTTATTCATTAGTCATACAGTACCTAATAAAAGTACTGAATCATTACATTAAACTTAGACTACATGAGATTCCTTTAAATAAAAAGATTATCTTCTACTTGATATGAAAGCAGAATTTTTAAATAAACAAAATACTGAAAGAATCAAAATAAGTCATGTAGTCATAATATCAAACTGTAGAAATTATCAAGTTACTTTAAAATGGATTTCTAAATAGCAATAAAAGAGATTCAGGTATTTTTTTGCATCAACTACTTTTTCTTCTCTTAGGTTATCTTACTTGCCACACTAGGCATGAATATACAGTATTAGGCAGGAAAGTTCTGCATATTTTTAATTCATTCCCATTTATTTCTCAGTAGAGATAAAACAGATCTTACATCAACAGATGTTTTATTTTAGAGCTTAGAGAACAATTCAGTTTATTATAGAGAATAAAAGATCAATTAAGAAACCTTTTCCTCTAAACATATTGCCTGAACTTGAGCCCATTAAAAATGAGAAAGAATAATTTAACTCTTCCACAATCAAGCATCATTCCTGAGATCTTCAGGAGATGTTAAGAATGATGAAGGAGTTAAATGTATCAAGTTAGAGTGACAGAAGTAGAGATGGCTTGGGGGAAATGCTACCAGGACTAGACAACTGTCACAGCCTGTGGTAAACTCTCTGTACGATAAGCAAAGAATTTAAGACAAACAATGGGTACAGGGCTAGGGAGATGGCTCAATGGAATAAGTGCTTCCCTGGCAAGCGCAAGGACCTGAGTTCAATCCCTGGTTCCATGAAAAAAAAAAGTATGAATACAAAAGTCAGCAATCATTGCCTGCCTCGCTTGTGCACTTACTTACTAAAATTCTCCCTTTCTAGATATATTTATAAGTTAGAAGCCAGAACTGGAGGTGGCAGCAGTATTAGTGGTGGTTACATTATCCAAACACCTTTGTGGACACCAGAAGAAATCCAGCCTCCGTATAATGTCACAGTACTCGGGCCTTATTCCATATTTGTAGCTTGGATGCCACCAGGTAAAGAAGCAAAGTATTTCTCTCAATCTCTCTCTCTCTCTCTCTCTCTCTCTCTCTCTCGCTCTCGCTCTCGCTCTCGCTCTCTCTCTCGCTCTCGCTCTCGCTCTCGCTCTCTCTCTCGCTCTCGCTCTCGCTCTCGCTCGCTCTCTCGCTCTCTTTCTCTCCCCTCCCCTCCCCTCCCCTCCTCTCCTCTCCTCACTCCCCTCACTTCCTCCTTCTTTCTCTCTTTTTTGAAAGAAAATTAATTTGAAATAAGAATAGAAATGTGTATTTAGTAAATGGAAAGGATGTCACTTGCTTCCTGCACATGTGAACAGAATAATCCAAACCACACTCCTGCATGTATAAGGCCCCTGGGACTCCTTACATTAGGTCACAGGCTTTGTAGGTGTCCTCTAAAATCTCCCAAAGGGTCAGGAATTGAAATCGACAGTAGCTCGCCCTGCCTATGTTCCTTACATTGTGGCTATAGTGGTAGCTGGGGTTTGCCTCTCTGTGCGCCGTGGTCTCCACTGAGATATTCAGTCACTGCTGTGCTGCTTTTGTGATTTGGTGCATTGTAATATTTGATGTAAGCATCATCCTCACATGAAATCTTGACTACATCAGTACTGTGGAGTAAAGATTAGGGGGAAATATTCCTTTCTTGTCCTTTAACTTCAAATACAAATAGAGGACTTTATTTCCAAGTGAAACTTAAAGCCTGTTAAAGTGTTAAATACACTTCAAACTATGTGACTTTGCTTTTAATACCTAGTCTTAATCTGAAATGGGAACAAACCCATTTTGTCCCCATCAAGGAAGCTTAATCGCAGTTTAGCACATTCCTTCATGGGTTTTCCATTTTGGCCATCAGCAGATTCAGCCCAGAAAGTAATCAGGAAAGACACACTTTTCACCCAAGCAAACAGCAGAGAAGTTAAAGCAAATATCGCATAGTCTCCCTAGTATAAGAACTCAAATGAAGAAATACAAATAGAAAGGTATAACACAATTAAAAGGAAAGTGAAACTTGAGGAATGGACAACAAGGAGAGGACAAGAAGAAAAGCTGGGAAACATGACAAGGGCAAAGCCATACATTTATACGCACAAGATGGGTAAGGCAATGATCCTGAGAACCATCAGCAGGTTTTTGAAACTAGCAGTTAATTGGTAGGATTCTCACCCTGACTAGCTATACATGCTGATACCTGTGAACCAAGCAACTGCGCTGATGATAGCAATGTGTAATAGAAGGGTCACACTTAGAATGCCTGTCATTCTGGTCTTCTAAATACGTACTTCTTGTCATGACATACCAATTATTACCATTCTGTCTCACAAGTAAATGTTTGTTTGTTTGTTTTTTGAAAAAGGGTAATAAATGAAAAAAGACACAAGAAAAAGAAATGTCACAGGACTGTCCTGCTACAAGGCTGTATATGGTTAGATTTCTAAATTTCTGGGTAAAAATATGTAATTATTTATTCATATTCTTTAAATATTTCTCATTTTTTAAAATTTTTTCTCCATATTCTGTAGAGATTTACAGTTTAATATATCAATACTTCCTGGAAATACCTGTTCCATGTTATGCCTAAGATGTTTAATATTCAGACAGATAGTGAGGTAAACCCAACTGCATATGTTATAGAGTAATAATAAGCTTCAGTTAACAACCTAAGTTTGCAGACCAAAAATTAGAGAAATAGAAGGGCTGCAAGGACAGCCAACATTTTGATTCAAGTCTTTCATGGTCAGTGATGACTCAGGACATAGGAGAACCTGTACTGTAACATCATGTAACTCAGTTGTGTCCCAAATTTTCTGATCAAGGAGATTATGGTGCCACAGAGCAACATGATCAATGATGTATTATGTGCCTAAGGAGAGTCACATGAAGAGAAAACTTTCTCTTAGGCTTTCACGCAGAGCAAACTGGTCAATCAATGGCCGTGACTCATCCACATGGCTGACACTGACAAAGGATCTACAAAGTGCAGTACAGGGTTACAGGATAAATGCTGAGGGTGCTTGACTGACCTTATCAGATACAAAAGTGCCATTCTTGTTATCTAGGTCTTGCTTTATCTTGGTCTTAACCATCCAGCAGGAAAGTATAAAAACGAGGTATGTAAAGTAAAGCCATATTAATATGCTGAGCTGTGAAAGGCTCAAGTGAACCACTTCTGTGGATAATCCACTACTATTGTGGACTGCTGGACTGTGTTGATTGTTTTTTCTGAATTCATGCACCTATAGTATTTAGATGCCAATAGAATACCCATCTCTGACAGTACTAAACAAAAAAGGGGATACAAAGGAAGGATCATTTTGTATCTGTATATGCAGAATAGTTAGGATAGATATACAACTACTTTCACTTAATTCAATGAGAAGAAAGATTTGTGGTAATAGTGTTTTGACAGGATATCTTGTCACATCTTGTACTATGGATTACCACTAAGAAGATAACAATATACAATGTATTAATTATTGAAACTGTCCTATTAATCAGTTTTGAAACTGTCTCATTGCTATTTGTTTTTCAATAATTAAAATTAAAAATTAGAAAAGCAAATAATATGGTCAAAAATAATATAAAGTTTTAGGACTGATGAGATAGCTCAGTGGACTAAGCACCTGCTTTGGTAAGCTCCAGGACCAGGGTTCAATCTCCAGTCCTGCATGCCACCCCGGCTCTGCTCCCAGGGCATGCTGAGCCAATGACCAAGTCTCTGCGTGATGGCCCTCACCTGTAATCCCAGGGGGGCTGAGAAGGCTGAAAACAGGAGGATCACTATGAGTCCAAGCTGAGCTGCATAGTGAGAACCTGTACCAAATACATAAAAAATGAAAATGATAATAATATAAAGTTTTAATATATAAAACCTGAATTCTCATAAACCAATACAATATTGATGTTGCAATCTGAAAGTAGGGAGAAAGCATTTTGACCAAATTCACAGGGGAAAATCCAGTAAGAGATTTAAAAACAAAGAAAAGTTCAGTGTCTCTGAGGTGTTAAATACAAATGATTCCATACACCCTAGCTGTAAAATAAAAACACAACCAAGGGGACTAAACAAATCATGGAGGATCCATAATAGAGGATGGCTATCATTAACAACTATCCAGCATATAAGTGTTAGGAACATAGATACTCATGAACTCTCTTAATTTTCAATAGCAAAAAAGACAAAAATTCTACCATGAGAAACTACAAACTCGCCTCCCCCAGAATAGAACCAACGGCTGCTTTCTCGGGGCCACACTGGTGTCCTGCGCCCTTTTGCATTTTGTCCTTGGCACTTTAACAATACTCTTGACTTTTAGCACCACCAAGTAAAACGGGTGCATAAAGCCACTCTGAGGCCAGATTCAGCCTGCTCAGTGGGGGCTCACCACACTCATGAGGGTCTCTACGCACCAAATTCTCAAAGGACAAGGGAAAGCCCAGGTGATAAGCGAAGCTGCTGTGGCTCTAGCCTTGTGCCGAGGAGGTCCTGCGATTCAGACAGTCACCGTGTGTCATTTTCTTATGACTAAAGCTCAAGTTGCCTTTCTACTCTGAGTTCACATTTGGTGTGAATTTAAAAAAGGGTGTCTTTCCAGACAAAGCCCCAAAGTAAGATAAATAGCAAAGCCAGGGTTCATATCCCAGCACTGCCTCCTCTTAGGTGAAATTTTAAATCTCAGCTATCTGCCTTTTAAGACAACTAAAGTGTCAGCATGTGGATCACTGTAAATGGTAATATATGTAATTGGCAAATATTACCTATTTCTGTATAATAGTTCTTGAGAAATTAAGTTTTGTCTTACTTTTTTTCAAAATATATTTATTCCAACATTTGATGAGTTCTCAGTCCTAGGGTTGGCCAAATAGCTCAGCAGATTAAAGCGCCCACTTAGGCAGATGCAGGGGCCAGGAGTTCAATCCACCTGGGGCCTGCCTGTCAGCCCCACCCCCAGGGAACTCTGGCATGGTGATGCGCACCTGTAATCCCAGCACTTGGGAGATTAAACAGGTGGATCACTATGAGTCCAATCTACGCAATGAGACCCTGTAGACCCTGTCCTAAAATACATAATACTTTGTTTTCACTGAGAAAAGTATGGAAAAATAAAGCGAAACTTCTGCTTGGGTACTATAACCTTAACCCTTGCCTACCTCAAGCCTTGAAATGTTTCGTTCTGGTTCAGACTAAGGGAAAATGTGAAGAAGGTAACCTCCACTATTTAAATAACACTTAATAAGTCTATAATATCCATACATGTCACTCCTGTAATCAGGCACACAACTTCCACTATAGAAACTCTGTAATATATGGAAAGATTAAAATCTTAAATTAAGCTTTCTTTCCTGGTACCTAGAAGGATTTTAATTCAGTAAAAAGTCAGATGACTTTGACTTGCATATAACTGACAGTTGATTTTATTGGAAAGTACCTCATGCTGTGTTTTGATTTGGATAATAAAAATATGCTTTCTCTTGCAGCGTACTCGCAAATATAAATTTTAACCAGAAAGAAAACAAACTTGTTGTAAGTAGAGGGTGTCCAGGCACTGGCAATCAGGAGTTTTCTAGCTTCTTGAAATGCTCAGCCCTCCCCACATTGTCGTGTCCTTAGTAAAGGTAAATTGCAGGCCACACGGTCTGTGTCCACAGTTTCCAAACCTGAGTGACACTAGAAACACCTGTAAAGCTTGAGCAAAGACACATTTTTCAACCATAACCTTGCAGAAAGAGGATCTCCTAGAACTCAAGAAGTCTAAATATTTTCATAGCTTCCCTACCTAAGGGAATTAAATTGCTATTTTTTACTTGCCTTTCTTTGGTGACCAATATGAATAATAAATTGCTGGAAGAAAAATATCTATATTGCTGCTAGACAACAGAAAATTTACCTGAGCAATTGACTGGATTTTGGCGTTGGAGATTATGTTTCCAAGGCTCTTGGTGAGCTATGCCTTAGTACATGTTTAGAAATCACAGTAGTAAAAAGGGTGGGGCCTATA